TATGCCTCGCTAAAGAGACACGCCAAGACTCAATCTCTCTCTGCTGCCCAGACACGGTGGCAGACCATAGCACCACAAACTTACCAAGATCTAGAAATAACTACATCTCCTAAGCGCCCTGGAGAGCTTCAACTTAACCGACTTGACCTTGGCCATATCATTGCAGCCCGTACTGGACATGGAGACTTCGCAGACTACCATGAACGTTTTAATCATGATGATGCTCATCTCCTCTGTCGATGTGGAGCACGAAAAGCACCTCTACATTTCTTCTTCTGCTATATAGCTAAGAGACGAGCCCCTCGTCCTCCTGGACCTCCTTCTGAGGTCATATCCTTCCTTCTAGGCACCGCGAAAGGAGCACAAAAACTAGCTACATGGCTAGCAGAGACCCGTTTTTTTGAGGATATCTGTCCTCGCCAACCTCTCCTTAGCACCTAGCTAAGTCAGCCCTACTTTTCCCTTATATCTCTCTTTTCTCTCTTTCTTTCTCTCTTTCTTCCCTTCTTCCCTTCTTTCCTTCTTTCTTTTAAACTCTCACTGCTTGATTACTATTATGGTAGAGTTATGGGTCATGGAGCGTAGGTGGACCATTGCAGCTGGCAAATATCTAAAACCCACTCGGAAGTGGACTCCCTGTAAGACCACGGCAGCTATGGAAATGCGCCAAAGAGTCCCTTATTTGTATATAAATCTGATAGGACCTGAAGCCCGAGGCTTACCCCTCGGCGGCCTATGTCCCAGTAGGGATTGGTGGAAAGCGTGCGAGTCACGATCCACGGCCGTTAAATACACACACACACACACACACACACTCAATATCCGCAGAGTCAACCATTTCAAATCCAAAGGAAAACATGAAAATCAAAAACAATATAACTCGGAGGGTGTTGAACGCTCAATTCACAATCTGTAGATCTTGGTGTTGCGACCCGGAGATCTATATTCCCACTAACCTGTTCCATAACCATATCACCATTTCATGTTCAGGGATTCAGTAAATTTTCCAAGTATCTCTGATGAAGATGCCTTAGTTAGGCTGTCCGCAAGCATGTCGGTGGTAGGGATATATATTGGCTTTATCTCCCGGTGGTTTACGAAGTCACGTATAGCATGATATCGAATCAGGATGTGCTTGCTTCGAGAATGCAGCACTGGATTGTCGGATAGCTTCATTGCGGACTGATTATCCATATAGAATGGAGTCGGTCCCTTAGATCCTTTCTGAATCGAATGCAAGAAATGTCTAAGCCATACTGCCTGCTTGGCTCCGTCTGACGCAGCAATATACTCAGCTTCTGACGACGAAGTCGCAGTAATTGGTTGCTTTCGGCTTGACCAACTTACAGGGCCACCAGCCAGTATAAAAATATACCCACTAGTTGAACGTCCCTTTGTAGCATTGGCATATGACGCATCCGTATAACCGACTAATATCTTACCACTCCCCTTTTCATCTAACGCTCGGTAGATGATAGCATATTTGATTGTACCGCGGACATATCGGAGTATTCGCTTGACCGCTTCTAAATGGACTTTTGTGGGTTCGGCGAGGTGTTGGCTGAGACGATTGACAGGAAACTGGATATCTGGCCGCGTTCCACCAGCTAAATATGTTAGTCGTCCAATGATTCTTCGGAACTTTGAGTGCAGATCTTTTGGAAGGCGTTGAGAATCTGCTGAAAGGTTCGTACTAGGTCCGAGAGGTAGGATACGATCCTTCGAATGATTCATGCCAAATTCTTTAAGCATCTGAGTAGCATAGAATTCTTGATCCAGTCGTATACCTCCATTTGGAAGCCAGGTGATTCGGATTCCTAATATCTTCTTTGCAAGTCCAGGATCCTTCATTGGATGAAATTTCTTGAGTTTCCTCTTTGTCCAGTCAATGTCCTTAGTTGCTTTACCGAACACTAAGATATCATCCACGTATAGCGCAATGATGACTCCTCGTTCATTGATAAAGACACTTGAATCAGCTGTTGAAGGCTTAAAACCAATAGTGTTAACGAATGACTTGACTTTCTGATTCCAGAGGTTGGCAGATTGCCGTAAGCCATACAGCGATTGTAAGATCTCACAGACCTGATCTGGTTCAGTTGGTCCGACACCATGGTCCTCTAAGCCCTGGGGAATTTCCATGAACATTTCCTTGTCGATTCTTGAGCCTACGAAGGCGTTTGTAGCGTCAAGTAGATGAGCAACCATCCCGTATGAAGCTGCAATAGCGAACAGCACACGGAGGCTTTCCAGTCGGATTACTGGTGCAAATGTGTCTTCAAAGTCTAAACCTTCCTGTTGAGAGAATCCTCTGGCAACTAGTCGTGCTTTGAATCGTTCTAGACGCCCATCTGCGCCATATTTCAGATCGAAGACCCATTTACATGATATGACTGATCGTCCGATTGGTCGTTTAACAAATTTCCATGTGCCGAAGCGTATCAGATTTCGAATCTCAAGACCAATGGCTTCACGCCATCTAGGTCCATAAATTGGATGATTGACAGCTTCCTCATAAGTCTTGGGTATAGGAATTTGCTCCCCTTCAAGCCGCTTGTCAACTCGTAAAGCAAACTCGTCGTCTTCGCTAGTAGGAGTTCTATTGCAACTGCCAAATTGGCTGTTTCTCGTAGACGTGTCTCCTCATGAGAGACTTGGGAAGAACTATCCGTTGTTGATACTTTACTCGCTTCCCTTTCTTCCCGACGTCTTTCTTGACGACTTTTCCGGCCGTATATTTGCTCTGTTTGCTGTGATTCAATTAACGCCTGGGTTGGTTGTCGTATACGCTCAGATCGTCGCTTTGGTGAAGCATCTTGCTGAGATGTCTTTGGTAATGAAGGTGTAGTGGACGGGTTTGGATCAGCTAGATCCGGTGTAGTCGACGTAGTGGATTCTTGACTATGTGACTCGTCGACTGCGGTAGTTGCATCAACATCATCCTTGTGGTTGAGCACGGTAGGACTCATAGCGGTAGTTGATGCAGAATTGATAACTGGATTGACAGTGTGGTTAAACACACTAGGATTCTCAATGAGGCTGTTATATGCCTCATCATTCGTAAACTCTCGATCACCTGCTTCATCAGAAATGAAGCCTCGTTGATCCTCCAAAAAGATTGGATTGGTGACCTTCCGTACTCGCCCTTGTCTATCAAGTACGAGATATTGACTGCTGCTCTTGGTATAACCCACAAAAACACCTTCTTGAGCCCTCGGATCAAGCTTATCCTTTGTCTCAATGTGAAACCAGACTTTGCAAAAAGGAACTTTGAGCTTTGCAAGGTTATACTTCTTCTTATAAATCATCTCATATGCAGACTTCCGTTTCTCCCCTTCCCTTGGTGAAAACATGGTTCGGTTTCGAAGAAAGTTGGCCATCCTAACTGCATATCGCCAATACTTCTTCGGAACATTCATCTGCTGCATCATCGCTCTCGCGATCTCAAGTATGAAACGATTCAGACGCTCTGCTGGTCCATTCTGTGGTGGTGTATATGGCTCTGTAAACTCCAGGTCGATTCCCTTCTTCTCAGCCCATGATCCTAATGCGGCAAACTCCTTCGCATTATCCAATCTAATATTGATCAAGGCCTTCCCTAGAATACGTTCTTCTTTAGCCATCCACTTCTCCAAGATCTCAATCACGGTCTCAGTACGTCGATTGTCCGTGATGTAAAGCCATGAGAACCTAGTCGCATCATCAACTATTGCCAAATAGTACTGGCCTTGATACGGTCCCCAAAAATCAATATAAACTCGTTTCAACGGTTCCTTCTCCTTTGGAACCTCTCCTCGATTCTGGCGCTTCACACTCTTCGCCTGAATACACGTCTCACATGTGAAATCATACGATTCTGGAAGCTTCAAACCCATTCGCTTCACTAATCGTTTCATCCTTGGCTTCCCTGGGTGTCCAAATCGCTTATGAAGCAGATCCCAATCTGGTTCTCTGGACACTATTCGAGCCTCTTCATCCTTATTCATTCGCCTTGATCTTGTCATGAGTGTATCCTGGGACTCCACTGAGCCTAGATAACTCGTTCGACCGATATTGTAGCCTGTAGCCAGAGTCTTTCGATCCTTTCTGTAGAATCGATATCCATCCTTCTCATGAGCATTGTAGATTCCATCTCGATACAACACTTGTGTCGAGAGAAGGTTTTCTTCCATGTCTGGCACATATAAAACATTATTCAACCTTGCCACTCCTCCATCCATAAGAGGAACTCTAGCAATCCCTTTTCCCATAATCTTAAGGTTTCCTCCTGCAGTCTTTAGGACGCCTCTGTATCTTGTGTCAAGTTTTTCTAGGCATTGAATATCGCCGGTGCAGTGACTCGTTGCACCTCCATCAATAGTCCACTTCTTGACCTTTTGCTCACTTTGGTCTGGGTCTATGCTTGTAGCTCGATCTGCATAATGAACTCCAATCCACACCTTATATGCACTTTCTTCGCTGCTTTCCTCGCTGACACTCTCATCCTCAGTATCAGATTCTTTAGAAGCATTCCTAGCCTTTCCCTTAAACCTAACTTTCTTACTTCTCTTCTCGTGTGCTTTCTTTCTAGAGCTTCGCGTCTTTGAGCTCTCTTGAGAGTCATCTCTAGACTCTTCTTTCGACTTCTTTCGTTTGTCTGGTTTTGGACAATTCCTCGCAAAATGACCCATCTCGTTACAGTTGAAGCACTTAATATCAGATGCGCGGTTGGCCGATTCATTGGCTCCGATGGTCTTATTGGTACTGCCACCTTGCATGCGCTCTTGCTGTTGTAATCGTGATAGTACAAGCCCTCTCGATAGGTCCCCAGCTCCCAGTATTGAGAACTTCATAGAATCGTACTCTGACGGTAATCCTTCCAGAAAAATAACCATAATCGTCTTCTCTGGCAATTTCACTTCTCCGCCACTCACGTCAACTAGCTCTGTATGCCTCTGTTCCAACTGCTGTAGTCCTGCCTCTACTGTCGTTGTAGAGCTCATTTTCCATGTTATTACATCGCGAATCGCATACGCAACGTCTACTTCCGTGCGCCTTTCATATTTCTCCATAAGGTACGCCCATATCTCTCCTGATGACCTCATATGTTGGACCGCGGATTCATCACTTTCGGTAAGGTTCTGTAGGATGTACAATTTCGACAAGGAGTCTGCTGCACTCCATTTATCGTCCTTAAGAAGCTCATCTATCTTCTCAGATTGCTTCCTCCACTTATATGTATAATCCAACACTTTCCAGCACCCTTGTGACTTTAGGAATAACTCATACTTGTTTTTCCAACTTCGAACGTTTGTCCGATCGAGTTTCGCTATCTCGAATGTCATAAACTTTCTCCCATTGACCTCCTCAAACGTAGGAATCGTTTCGTCGTCTGGCATTCTCGCTAACTTGTCCACAAGTTGTCGGTCCGGTGTAAACTCTCGTATGGGTACCTCGACTCTAACCACAGTATTCTGCCAACCGCTGTGTACGGTGTTGTCTCTTTCTCGTTCGACGATCTCGTTCTCGGTGGCTTCGTCACGTTGACCTAAGGCTGTCTCGTTGCCTTGTTCGAATGAACCAGGAATTCTACCCTCTGGCTCAGGAGTCGTGGAAATAAACCGTCCTCTCTCGTCTCGTTGTCTCCGAGACATCAACTAGCCTTGAGCTGTAACACTTCTTCCTTCCAAACTTTCGAAGCGCGGTCGTATGCCCGAATTCGTCGTAACAATAGGTTGGCCGGCCTATCTTTACTAAGAGGATCGAGGATACAACAGACTAATCACGATACTATTACCTGCTTACACCCAGCGGTGATTCCGGTGGTTCGCCCTAAGTGCAAGACTCGCTTCCACGAACGCTGTTATGCTATCCTGCAGCTTAGCCCCA